GTGTGTGTGTGTGTGTGTGTGTGTGTGCGGGCTATGGATTCTGAACTCACCGAGGTAGGTCTGCCTCGGTCTAGTGGCTCGCGTTGTCCCACAGCCAGCTCCGCATTCACGTCGACTGACATTTTGCCAGAACTCTTCCCTCCCTGCTCGCTGTCCGCCGAACGTGTGGCGAAAATCTTTGGCTACAGCCTCTGCCACACACTGCCAATCAGCGGTGATGTGGCCTCAACCCCACAAAGATTAAACACCTGCAGAGACAAAGCAAGAACCAATGAGACGTCAGATGTCGCACAAAAGTATGGTCATTCCTCCCCATTGAACAAACTAGCTCCCCACACACCCCCATGGTGGCAATGGGATGACATCAGCACCTCCCATCTAGAGACACCATCAAAACGACCCACCCCCCATTGCCACCCATCGGCCTATTCAGAACACCATTCTGATGTGCATACAACGTCAGGAGGTGCCTAAAAGAGAAAAGGTCGAACCTTTTATCATTCCTCTAGCTACATCAACAATTAATGCTCCTATCGATAAACTCGTTAGACCAGGAAGTTTATCTGGCTGTCGCCAGATTATCTTTTCACTTGTGATATCAACAATTGCTGTCGCCCTTAAAGAAAAGAAAAAAAAAAAAAAGAATGCCCACTCAGCATGGTTGTCTCTGGGGAAACCTTCAGTCTAGACACATCAATAATGGGCCGACATTCTACTCGCATGCGGACAGTAGACACGCAGCGAAAAAGGGTCTGGCTCCACCACTCACCAAATGTGCGAAATGTGAATGAATATTCTGCTAGAACATGGAAAGATGCACTGGCATAATTTGTCTTTTCTGCTTGTGGTGACTAGTGTAGCGAGGTCCAAAGACTACATGTGATGGCACACAGGATGGGTGGAAAAAACGGACCGAAGAGGGTGCACCTGCAAATAGAGTCTGCAATCAGCCGTAAGCACATGCGGAAAGGTGCTGCAAGATCATGCAGTGGCATTGCTTGGACTAGTCATGATCGCCCACCTCCCTCCTTGCCTACTCCCAAACCGCCGTCTCCCTCTCCTCTCTTCACAGCACTTCGACGACAAGGATGCTACTGCCTCCCTCCTCATCGCCGAAGGCAGACAGGCATGACGCATACATCCTGCCGCAACGACTGCACTGCAAATACATCCCGGAGCAAGCACACAAACCACACAACCCCCATCAGGAAAGTCCTCGCAGCCTACGTCCTCGTTTATTTCCTTCATTTCCATCTTTTTTGCCGAAATGGTGCCTGAAACCTGATCGTCTTTTTATTTTGTTTTTTTTGTTTGTTTGTTTTTAACAAAAAAAAAGCCACTTGTGGAGTATTACAGAGAGACGTAAGAAGAAAGAATAATGAATGTCTCAGGGACGCTGGACCTGATTTCCAGCAGGTGCTCCGTTTCTCTCTCTTTCTTCCCCCCCCCCCCCCCCCCCCCCCCCCCAAAGTGCGACGGCCTTTTCAACATTCAGGTCGACTCCGTTCCCTTTCCAACATCGAGTTAAGTACGTTACTGCTGTTACAGGACCAGATTCAGACCGTGAAGCCCCGATCACAGTGCATGCCCTATCAGCCCATGTTGCACAAGCGTTCCAGGGCTGAGGGCCCACTTGCACGGATTAAGGGAGGATGACCGTTGAACTTCGTTATCTAGGGCCCCTATATCTCGCCCCCGGATCCGGATGACAGCTCGTATCATTGCCTGCGGGCTCTAGACAACCTCTCCCAATTTCACCTTTCACTATCTACCTCCCTACCACTACTCCTAAGCCTATATACAGGGGAGCGCCTGCAAGCATAGCTATCTCTCACAATTAAGGGGAGCCCCCCGCCCTAATGGACAGTGGTCAGGAAGTAGGTTGGATGCCGCTGCTGGCCGCGGCTGGCTATCGCAAAGACCGAACATTTTACCAGGTAGCTGTGCCTCCCATCTACTCCCTCCCCCCCCCCCCCCCCCCCCCCCCCCCCCAACAATCGGGTAGCAGCAGTGGCTATGGCCACCACTCTCCCACACACCGCACACCACACACAACCCACTCACGCTCACACTCACACCCCCCTGTTGGTCATAATATACACCACTAGTACCCATCAGGGGTATCAAGCGGACTATCACAGTGGGTTGGCACTAAGTGCACCGCAGGGCGGTCGCGGGGGCTTCGAACGCACAACCTCCTGAATGCCACTTCCGTGCCTGACCAACTGAGCTTCGGTCTGATTTCTGGCCCTTTTTTTGGAGGGGGGG